ATAAGAATAAAAGGAAAGGTACTCTGGGGGAAGATCCCACCTAGCTAAGTTTTCAACACCTGAAAGGAGCAATCCAAAGCTGAAGCTAATGCTGGTGCTGAAGCTGATGCTGACAGTGATGCTGAAGCTGATAGTGATGCTGATGCTGAAGCGGTCGATGGATTCAAAGGAGCCAGGGTCCATCCCAAGTTGGTAGCGGTCATGGAATCTTTCTCCAGGGCTTCAGAGAGCTCCCGAAGACAGAAAATATATGGCAGGGAATCCTTGTGGTAGACCCAAGAGAGCAAGAGGTCCTGAGAGGCCATTGCACGAAACTGTGACAGTGAAACCTGTGTTGCCATGGAGAGCTGTTGAGGAACTAGCCTGAATGAGAGGAGAGTGCTGTAGTCCATGCAGCTGGAAGGGCAGACTTCAGACATGGAGCTGTAGGATTTGGTAATTCACTGCTGGGTGTCGGTCTTGCTTTGGTCCAGTATTTCCTCATTATGCTCCCATTCCTCCCTTTTGGAATGATAGCATATGTTCTGTGCCATTTCATTCTGGAAGTATGTAATTTGCTGTTTTGATTTCACAGGGGGTGATAATTAAGAGATTGCTCTGAGTTTCAGAAATGAGTTTGGATGGAAACCCAGTGCTGTGACTGTAAAAGACTGTTGGCTTTGAAGTTGAACCCTGTATTCGGCACTGTGATACGACCACAAGCCCATGAGGGCCAGAGAGTGGAATGTGGTGGTTTGGATAAGTCCCTTACAGTCTCAGGCATTTGAGCACCAGGTTCCCAGCTGGTGGGACTGTTGTAGGAAGGATTAGGAGGCAAGGCCTTGCTGGGGGAAAGTATGTCCCTAGAGGTGGAAAAGACTCACACCGTTTCCAGTTCATTCTCCTTGCTTTGTGCTTGTAATCCAAGATGTGATCCCTCTGCCTCCTGCTCCCATTGCCATGCCTACACACCACCATCGTGAGCTCCAACCCTCTGGATCCGTAAGCCCCAACAAACCCTTCTTCCTATGAGTTACCGTGGTCAGAGTGCTTTAGTCACAGCTAGCATGGTAGAATAAAATATAATAAAACAAAACCCACCACATCGAGGCTGGAAAAGGCAACCCAACAGGAGGGAAAGAGCCCCAAGAGAAGACACAAGAATCAGAGACCCACTCATCCACACACTTAGGAGTCCCATAAACATACTACGCTAAAATGTGTACTGCACATACTCGGAGCACTTGGGACACACCTGTGCAGCCCTGTGCACCCCACCTCAGCCTCGTGGACTCATGTGAGCCTTGCTCATTCGAGTCCGAGGGCCTTATTTTTCCCAGTGTCCTCCATCCTCTCTGGCTCTTATATTCTTCCCACCTCCTCTTCCACAGCATGCCCCTGTTTTCATTTAACAATCAACAAACACACCCGTCATACCACTTTGTGTTGATTTCCACTCTTGGTCCATTTTCTTTCATTATATAATTGGGTCTTGTTGCCTTTTGTGCATTTGATGTAGTCAAGGCATAAGCATTCTGGCACCTGGGAGCCAAAGGATACTGAGTGTTACAGCTTGGATGTAAAAATATTCTGGCACTCGGGAGCCAAGGAGTACCACAGGTCACAGTAAGCGTAGCAGCTTACAGCCCTGCTCCAGGGAAAGGCTTCCCCAGTGTAATAGCTCTGCTCTGGCAAGAGAGGGCTTTGGAGTATAACAACTCAGCTTCGCTAGGGGAATGTTTTTCCACTCTGCTCTGGCTCCGTCGAAAACTTGATATTTCTCTCCTCCTCTTCATTCCAGTGAAGGAAGCTTTCACCCAAACTTCTTTCAAGAGATTTACTGGGAGGGAAGAATCCAGGAGAGTGGCTGCCTCTGCCAGGGTGGCAGAGGACAGCTGGACAGCCGTACAGTCACAAGCTGCACAGACACAGGATTTATATAGGGCTTCTTAGGGGGTGGAGTTTTTCCAGGGAGATTTCCAGAGTGGGGATTGGTCAGAGCTCAGATTGGCTAGATCTGGTGCTCAGGGATTTGTTGGTTTTCTGCTCAGGTTCAGGGTCAGATTTGGCTCTGGTTTCAGGGCCAAAGTGTGTTTCTTTCACTGGTCCTTTTTAGTCTTTTGGCTCTAATTTTAGGGCCAGGATGTACTTCTTTCCAGGGACAAAGTGTGTTTCTTTGGTTCTGGTTGCAGGGCCAAAGTGTGTTTCTTGGGCTCTGCTCAGGGTGTTTCTTTGACTGGCCCTTTGTCTCTACACAAGATCTATATATTTGTCTTATTGTCTTTTATAAAATAACAATACACACACTCCATTTTTAAGACACTCATTTTGCTTATATTTTTACATATGTGTTTTAGTTCACTATTAGTATCACTATGTGTATTGCATATGACAGAAAGGAACATGTAACCATGTGGACATTGTCTTGCAAATTCTTGAATATCCTTTACCTCTTTCCTAATCCTTTAAATTTTGTATATTTATTTTGAGACAGGGTGTCTCTATGTATCTCTAGCTGGCTCGAAAATCAATATGGATCAGTTTGGCTTAAAGACTGTAGAAACCCACCTGGGCTGGTGGTCCTGGGTTTTATAAGAAAGCAGGTTGAGCAAACAGTCTGAAGCAAACCAGCAAGCAGCGCCCTCCCTGGCCTCTGCAAGCAGCGCCCTCCCTGGCCTCTGCAAGCAGCGCCCTCCCTGGCCTCTGCAAGCAGCGCCCTCCCTGACCTCTGCAAGCAGCGCCCTCCCTGACCTCTGCAAGCAGCGCCCTCCCTGGCCTCTGCAAGCAGCGCCCTCCCTGGCCTCTGCAAGCAGCGCCCTCCCTGACCTCTGCAAGCAGCGCCCTCCCTGGCCTCTGCATCAGCTCCTGACTCCAGAATCCTGCCCAGTATGAACTCATGCGCTGACTCCCTTCAGTAATGAAGCAATGTGGAAGTGTAGGCCAAACAGCAATAGAAACCCTGACTAAGACACCTCCAAACACGGCCCCCAACAAATAAATGCCAGCAACAGGTGTACCACAGTCTTTGTGAACTGAGGGTCCTCATTCAGTGAATGCCTGGTCTAAGCTAGGGAATAGGCCTTCAGGACAGTGGTTCTCAACCTGTGGGTTACGACCCCTTTGGGGGTTGGATGATCCTTTCACAGGGGTTGCAAATCAGATATTTACAGGACGATTCATAACAGTAGCAAAATCACAGTTAGGAAGTAGCAACCAAATCACTTTGTGGTTGGGGTCACCACAACCATGTCAAAGGGTCGCAGCATTAGGGAGGTTGAGCACCTCTGCTTCAGGCTCACCTGCATGTTGTCTGAGGCTTGGAAGAAAACAGATGAAGCTGGGCAGTGGTGGCGCATGCCTTTAATCCCAGCACTCAGGAGGCAGAGGCAGGCAGATCTCTGTGAGTTCGAGGCCGGGCTGGACCGACAGCCTCCAAAACAATACAGAGAAACCCTATCTCATAAAACCAAAAAAAAAAAAAAAAAAAAAAAAGAAAAAAAAAAAAAAAAAAGAAAAAGAAAAAGAAAACCAATGAGATACAGGAATTCAAGCTTATGATGTTGTTTAGATGAATAGAGACTTTGGTGTGTTTTCAAGTGTCTGGTGCCTCCACTGCTGAAGTTTGCTGTGAAAAGGCGGTCCCCCCTCCACAGTGGTTGGGTTGGAGATGGAATGAATCATTCGTCATGAGTTTGTCGTGTCAGTTTATGTCTCTACATAAAGTTATCATTTGGGCCCCAGGGGACTCCCATCATGCTGGGCACTCGTGCAGGGAATCAGAGCTCATTTCATTTTACGCTGGGCTCCTCAGTTGGTTTCTGAGTCCCTGCATGGATGTGGGTGGATGCAGTTTGAATGTGGTCAGGCATGGTCTTGATTGAATACTTTTATTTAGCAAAACTTAATGACTGGATTAAAAACAAAACTTTTCCTCATATGAGAGCCAGTAAGGCTTAATCATTACTGCTTTTCAGATCTCTCCCCCGTTTCCCCCCCCACAACTAAAGCTCATTATAGGGCCTTCCATTTAAACATAAAAGGCCCACACAGTTAACAGTTTCCATGCCCTCAACAAATCCCTGAAAGTGATGGAAAGTAACTTTTCACAAAAGGTGTAAACAGTGAACACAAAAACAAGAAGGGTAGAAGGGACAACATCAGACCAAGTCACTGCCACTTTGGAGGCTTGTGAGCAAAATGAGAGCTAGCTCAGTGAGAAAGGGGAGAGGGGACTCGGAAGTGTAAACATTCCTACACGGAGAACCGAGAAGCCAGAGAGTGAGAGCCCCGGGAATGGGAGAAGGCAGGAGACGGGCATGGTCAGCAAGAGGAGCGGTTCAAAGTCTGTGCGCAACACGGTCCATCCCTACTTCCATCTCTCTGCGCCAGTGACCTGGTGGCCTGACTCTACAGAGGTTCACCATGGGCAAGACGTTGCTCCGAACCAAGAATCCAGGCTCTGGGATGCCAGGAGCGGCGGAAGGAGAGAGGGCTAAATGCTCTGGGGTGCAAATACAGAGAAAGTCAAATTATCACCAAACACAGTCTGTCCATCTGTAACGGTTTCCCGTGCAGCCCTCTACCATCCCTGCACCTGTCTTGCATGCGACAGGTGCAGGTGCATGCTGCACGTGTGAAGCATGTGGCCTCTAACCCCGCCCCCCTCCCGGAGGCTCCGCCCCCCTCGACAGCATTCACCTCTGCAGCCTCTACTGTTACTCCTAGGAGACTTGAGTAAACCCAAGCTGCCAGCATGGTGGGCAAAGGCTGAGTCTGTGCGAGGGCTTTGGAGTTTCTCTGTGCATCTCAGGAGGATTGCCAGGCTCCCGACTTTGTCCTCGTCGGGGAGATAAAAATAAATAAACAAGTTAATAAAAATAAAAAACAGGTGAAGGGACGCGGGGCAGAGAGCCCGGGGCGAGCAGAGGACTTCCTGAAGGCGAGGTAGAAGTGGGCCCCGGAAGTGGGCCCCCGAAGTAGGCCCGGAAGTGGACCCGGAAGTAGGCCGAGAAGCAGGGACATTGGAAGGCCTGAAGGGATGGGGGAGAAGAAGGTGGAGCCCCAGGACTTCCTCAAGAACTTCCAAGAGTACCTGAGCCAGCAGACCCGCCAGGTGAACGCGTTGGCCTGGGACCTGGCCGGGCAGGCCCGAGGGGGTCCGGGACACCCCGGGGATGCTCTGGACGGGAACCTGGTGCTGATGCTGGACGACTTGGGAAGGACGCTGGACGGCAAGCTGCAGTGCCCGTACTGCGGCTACGCCAGCCAGAGGACAGAGCGGCTGGTGGAACATACGAGAATCCACACGGGCGAGAAGCCGCACAGGTGTCACCTGTGCCCCTTCGCCTCCGCCTACGAGCGCTACCTCGAAGCCCACTTGCGTTCGCACACCGGGGAGAAGCCCTACAAATGTGAGTGGTGCGCCTACCGCTGCAACTACAGAAGCAACCTGTCCCACCATCACAGGCGCAGGCATAATCTGTCACCGCTGACCGGGCCCAGGGCCTCCCTGGGCAGCGTGAGAATGTGGGGGGGCCTGCAGAGGAAAAGCAACGCGCAGGATGGCAAACGAGGGGCGCTCATCTCCTTGGGTCCGCCCGTTCAGAAGCCAGACTGGCCGAGTGAGCTCACCCACAGGATCCCAAACGTCCAGAGTGACTTCTACGACGGTATGGATAAAGCCTCAGCGTGTGGACCGCCGAGGGACCCCCAGGAACCCTTGCTCGTGGACAGCCCTTTGAACCAGCTGTCTCCTCTAGCGGGACACCTGTCCAGCTTGCCACCGGAAAACCAAAACCCTGCCTCAGCCGACCTAGACTCCAGCCTCGAAGAAAACCCTTACGTGATCCAACAGCCCTCTGCCCAAGGGAGTGACCCTCAGAGCTCCCCCATAGTGCTCGAGCCTCCTCCACCGCCATTCAGTCGGAGGGACTGCAGTGCGTTTGCGGGGCCCAGCAGCCAGCCGAGTGGCCAGAGCAGCGCCTCCATCCCTGGAAACAGCCAGCCGAGCACTCCGGCCTCAGCCTTGCCCGTGGGGGGCCCTCAGCTTCTCTACCACTGCCAGCACTGTGACACATACTTTGCAGACAACGTCCTTTACACGATTCACATGGGATGCCACGGGTATGACAACCCCTTTCAGTGTAACACGTGTGGCTACGACTGTAAAAACAAGTATAATTTTGCCTGTCATTTTGCAAGAGGCCAACATAACTAGAGCGGGAGAACAACCAACCTTATCTTTTCCCCGGTTTAGCCTTTTTTTGGGTGATGGTAGTTTGGTTCTGGTTACTCCTGGTAGGGCGTTTTCTAATCCGAAGCTTATTCTATGTTATAACATAAATTTTGATGATGGAAACCGCAGCCCTCCTGCATTCACCCTCCCCATTTTTCATAAAATTCGATCTGGTCAAGGTTATTTAGATGCTAGAATAGTTACCTTTTTCTTTTCTTTCTTAGGTAAGTCATGTGAGAATGTGAGAATTAAGTCCAATCATCCTCTTACCAGGTGTTTAGTTAAATTTTCTCTACTTATGACCCTTTAGGCTTTAAGGATTGTTTAAGTTTCTAATATTCATTGCATTTAGATATTACTTCTGTCATGTTTGAGAGGAGTAGAATAATTTTTCTGCTATAATTCTGATACACCGTATTTCTGTGCTGAAAGTAACTTTGAAGTTGCCATTAGTTGAAGTGTCTAGTTCCTATACTTAAATTGGCCTAGTAGTTTCTTTTCAACTGCAAACAGTAAGGCTGTCTCCGTATAGTAACTGTTTTTCTTTTTCTTTCTACATAGGGAATATAAAACAATTTTTTGTAGTTATAACAATAGGTGAAAGTTCTAAAAAGAAATGAGACTCAGGACCAAGTTTCCTTTAGCCTAAATTATATGTTTAATTTTTATAATACCTGTGGAGTCAATGTCTTATTTAGATATGATAATAACCCACTGGGCTGCTTATGCTCCGAATTTATTTTTTAAAACCAGAGGAAAAGGTAGCAGAGTATTTTTGTGCAATTTCAGTTTCTTGGTTAAATTCTTCATGGAGATTGGTGTTGGCAAAGATCTGGTAACTGCAGTGAGACTCTGTTTTCCCTATTCTTTCGATGACCAAAGGCCCTTCCAAGACAGTGAGTGAGTGACACACCAGTACCTGAACTGTCAACTTCAGGCCTTTAGGACCGCGCAGATTAAGTTTTCATGGCTGCCATGTTTGTTCAACTTTGACATAGCAGCCACAAAAGTTTCATGCAGGCTTCTGGAGAAAAAAAAAATCTGATTTTCTACTTCCGGTGTTTATTACTGAGAACGAATCACCTTCCTGACTGTTCTGAGCAGGTGCACAAAGCTGAGCTGACCTGCTCCCTGGGCGCTCCTGTTTTGGCCTCTAGGAATGTTCCTGGCAAAACTCTGAAGGCACTGGAGGAGCTCCAGCCCTGTGGGAAAGCTCTCCTTCATTCCACCGAGGGCCCACAGAATCCATGTTAATCATTCCTCTATTGCCGACCCTACACCGACTGGAGGAGGTTACCTAGGTGCTATGTAGGTTCTCCTCTTTTGTAGCAGCCAAGAGTTTATTCCAGGGAGGCACCGCAGAGGAGACAGCTGGCAGTGCTGCCCCCAAATCCACAGGCCACATTTATGTTGGCGGCCCCTCAATTACAGGCACAGCACAGCAGGTGCCTGCTGCCCCACTCCATTCACCACCCGTCAGATACCGGCTGCGAATGGCTTCCTTCTGGCCTCTCTTCCACCTACCTCACCGGCCTTCTGTGACCTTTGACTTCCCTGTTGAATGGGCATATCCGTGCCCCTTTTATGCCTTTTCTGACAGAAGCCTGACCCACTCAAGCCCCTTAGACTCCAAGGGCTCCCATGAAGTCACCTAATGGGAACTGTGGAGTTTATATAGTTAGCGATTTCTTGAGAATTTTTCTTTCAATTCACAACACGTGTCACGGGAATGAATGATGGCTCACCCAAATTCTTATGTTGAAATCCCTTGAACTTCTGAACATGGTTGTATTTGGACCTAAAATAAAGCCTTTAGAGGAGCCAGGTCAAATGAGATCAACTGGATAAGTTATAATCTGGTATGATGGATATCTCTGTGAGAAGAGGAGATTGGGACACAGACGGAGTCCTGGGAAGGGACTAGGCTTGCCGGCATTTTGTTCTCAGGTTTCTAGTCCCTGGAAGTATGAAGAAACATATTTCTGAGTTAAGGCATCCTGGGCTATAGTAGTAAATTGCTAAGGCAGCCCAGCAAGATGATGCAGTACACCAGTGTTCTGTTTTTGTTCGGTTTTTGATTTTGTTTGTTTTTGAGTCAGGGTCTCACTATGTAGCCTTGGCTGGCCTGTAACTCACTGTGTAGATCAGCCTGCCCTGTAGCTCATAGAGATCCATTTGCCTTTGCCTTCCTAGTACTGGGTTTAAAGGTGTGTGCTGTTTTCTTTTTTTGTTTTTGTTTTTAAGGAAGAAAAGTTCCTAAGGAGACATGTAATTGCAGGACCCCAAGTTTTATAGCTTGGAGCAGCATAAGAGCAATTTTCTAGGTTTATCTAGTTCCTCATTTATTAGATTTTGTTTATTAGTACATCCTTAGGAATGTATCATCTACTTTATATTCTCCTAAAGATGGCTACCTACTCAAAGTACTTTGTAAGTTTTCCTTAGCTTCTTTGGTAATTTATTACATGATAAATGCCAACAAAGCTATTGAGTAAGGTTGAGTGGACTCAAGCTGTTGAGGGGTGTTGTGTTTCTTCACCCACATATCCTCATTGTTGGTGCTTAGTACCGGAGCCAGTAAAATGAGGAGGATGGCATTTAGGATATTGAGCCACATTTAAAGCATCAAAGTCTTTTATTTTATTGTTATACTTAAATTTACCTACCGTTCTAAGAAATTATTAAGTCAAAGAACCCACTTTCACTACCATTTTTTACTTCAGGGTAGAGGATTGATCTTGCTAGCTATAATGGCTGACATTTGCCTTTGGAGGTTAATTTCCTAGACTTCCTACTCAGTGTGATAGTCGTGAGGCCCACTGCTCCTCCACTCAGGCCCCTCTGCCTCCTCTTCAATAGACTGTATGCTGATCCACAGACCTGCCACCAGCCCTCAGTTCACTGCTGACTGACTGCCCAGCCCCTGGGTGTGAAACTTCACTGAACATCCCCACCATTTTCCTTTGAGTGCCTCAAGTACCCCTTGCCCAGAGTTTCATTGTCTCAATCCCATAGCTGATTCTACTCCCTTCCTTCCTTCCTTCCTTCCTTCCTTCCTTCCTTCCTTCCTTCCTTCCTTCTTTCCTTCCTCTGTCTACCCCTCTTTGATTTTTAAGACAAAGTCTTAAACTGTAGCCCAGGCTGACCAGGACCTGAGAGTAATCCTATGTCACTCTCCAGCATGCTGGAGTTGCAGGCATGAGCCACCACATCCTGCCCATTACCATCTCTTTGAGATGCCAATTACCAGAGACCAACTCACCCCAGCAAGTGGATCCCGTGTTCTGCCTCCTTCCTTCTGACATCTTGACACTCACCAAGACTCATTCATTTTACTTCTTTCATTTTGAATATTCAGAACACTCAAAAATACAGTTTGTCTCCCTAGTGCTAAGACGTGTAAATCAACAGAAAACGGTGTGAAACATGATAAATACAGCACTCAACACAGTTGAAAGTCAGAGCAGGTAAACACCTTTATATGTAGCTGGCTGGGAAGCAAAGCTTGCACTGGGCAACTGGCAAAGGACCCCAGCAATGTTTAGAAATGCATCTCTTTTAACTCTTACAGCCTATCTTTGCAAAATTTGCCCTAGTGAAGTAAGTTGAGAAATACAAGTATTGATACTTTTGGTTGTTTACTAGGTTATCTTAAACATTAAAAGACCATAAATATCATCAATATCAAACAGCCTAAATGAGGGATTTCTTAATACATTATGTTAAATTTGTAAGTTTTGGCACCATCAGTGATTATGCAAGGTGTGTGTTTACCAACTCCAGTAAAACCTACTTGCATTTTACATGCAGAGACAGATTGTGAAACACTGTATAGATGCTGAACACACTTGATGTAATATGCATGTATGGGCAGATCTCAACAGAAAGTGAAGCAAGCTGGAAAATGCTGTGTAGATTATCGGTGGTGGTTATGTCAGGAGGAGATCTCACAGGGAATAAATTATTTCCATGCATCTTTTGTGTTTGCTCATTCTTTCCGCTAACAAACAAGAACTAGCTTTTTTTCCAAGTCCTGAGCTCTTTCCTGTAGTGCTGGGGACTGAACCTAGGACCTTGTGAGATCTGTCCTGTTGCTGCACCCCAAAGTTGCACACCAATACTACAGATTAAAATACATATATTTATTTTATGCACACGTATGTGTGCCTCGGTGTGTGTATGTGCACCGTGTTTGTTCAGAAGCTCTTGGAGGACAGAAGAGGCACTAGGTTCTGGGGAACAGATGGTTAGGAGCTGTCATGTGGATGCTGGAGACTGATCCCAGGTCCTTGGCAAGAACAGTCCTCTCTCTAACTGCTGAGATGTCTCCACAGCCCCAACATTGGGGTTATTGCTTATCAGATACAATTTCCCATTCCCGAAGGCTTCAGGGATTCTGTAGACTGACTGCTTTTTTCTTTCGTGCTATCGATGTACTGACCTTTCACAAAGCGACACATAGTTCCCTTGTGCACAGGTTGGGCGGCACCACAAAGCTCTAGGAGAACCTGGCTATCCAGGTGGGTCTGGAGGGCCTGCTCTGTGGCTTCCTGGGAATCTGCTCTTACACTAAAGCTAGGGCAGTGCTGCATCTGGCCCCTCCTTCCCTGCCCAAAGCTTTTGTCTCCTGACCTGTCCCACCTTGCTGCTATGTGTGCAGTTGTTAGTTTACTCAGTGACTGCCCTCAGTAGGACTTCTCGGGATGCCTGACTCAGAGCTTCAGGCAGCCTCCCAGTGACTCTGTCCTTCGCTCCAGCTCCCGCTTTTGGCTCTGTTCTCAGCAGCCCTCCTGCTAGGCTTCCCCGGGCTCCTCTACCGCTGGAACTCTTGAGCCCTTCCAAGCAACCACCAGAATGGCAATGGTTTATTCAAAATTAAGAGACAGGAAGGAGTCGGGGCTCCAGCGACCCCTTACATGCACAGCCCACTGTATTTCCTCCTAGTTGGCCCTTCGGCCTGAAGTTTCCACCATCTTCCAACA